AGTGATATTAATGATACTAACTTACAGCAATATCTCTCAGTTGAGTGGCTTCAATCGCATGGAAATTTTCCCGGACCCAATCGTTGAGCGTTTCGTCGACGGTCGTTCGTATCGTTCTGGTGATTATTTGACCATAAACGGTAAATACCTGGATGCGGCCGCAAGTGAACGAGATGTCCAAGTGAAGATCGGTGATGAGCTGTGCAATCTGACGGCGTTAGCGAATCGTGCTCTCACCTGTCTACCACCCGATCCTACGATATCCAATCAACTGCAATACAACGATAAACCACGTGTTATTGTCAAAATTGGTGGCATGAAGTAAGTGCTATAATTCATGTTTTGATTGGCGATGTTTTTGATAAAATTCTTCGAATTCAAACTTTTGATTTGATTTCACCAACTTTTCAGAATTTCTTCATTATCGACACACTTTTTGTTAAAATAACCTCGATCCGATGTGTTTAATATGAATACAATGAATATGATTACGTGTGATGTCAACGTTGCAATCACATAAATACATAAGATTTGGTGTATTGTGGGCACTAATTTGAAATTCATCTTCATTATTTGACCAGTGCTTAAGGAATTATTTGAAATAATTTTATTCCGCTGAAATTTGATGGGATTTTGATTGGTAAATCGGTGTACCACTTGATTTTCTGTGAAAATAAGAGAGAATTGAGTTAGTCGGTGTGATTTCGTTTTCGTCCATGAGTATTTGGATCGACCGAAGTTGCTTGTCTTTCAAAAAAATAGAGAACTCAATGAATCGATGAATGTACGATTTCAGTTATGATGTTGGTGAATTGGTATATAATTCAAAAGAATCAGATATATCGCCCCAGGTGCTCATCGCCATATCAGTTGCTATCCTTGGAGTTATTGTCGCGTTCATTCTGCTTCTCGTATTCTATCGGTCAGTTACTTTTCTACTTTATTCTCTTTGAAACTTTGTCGTTTTTTTTAACTTCAGATTGTTAAAATACTTGATAGTTTCATGAAGATGATTATCAGAAATGTGCATTGTTAATCAGTGATGCGCGCTCAAAATTGAATCTGATATTGTTGCGATTGGAGGATGTTGATATGGAATTTGCACGAGCAAAACAGCAAAATCGAAGTTATGAATAATTTCAGGCGTAAAAGCACGTCGCATATGCGCGAGATGAAGCATTTGCGCAATCAGATCGACCAAATCGAAATGAAAGTG